TGAGCTGGAGGTATTCACTAAGGAGGTTTCAGGTCACTGACAATTGCTGTGGTGAGCCAGCTCAGGCATCAGCTGACACACACAGAAAAAGCCACAGAACCCACAATGGCCCGGGCCTACTGGCACTGCACTGTGACCTGGTGCTGACACCAGTACCTATGGGTTTCTCGGACACTTTCAGAGATTCATTATTTATCACTTTTTAAAATGAATGTCCCCAAATGCATTCCTTGAACTACCTTTGCTGTATCCTACCAAGAAACAATAGCCTTAGCATTAGTAGTAGTTATTATTTATGGAGTCCTAATGATGTGCCAGCAATTCCTCCAAATTTACACAGATGTTAATTTATGGAACATTCTGTGAGTAGGATGCTGTTATTATTTCCCTGTTCTAGGAACAGGACCAAGAAGCTAAGTAACCTGTTGTGACAGAATATTGCCCTGTAACCTGAAACTGTTACATGAGAAAGACACTTAGATGTGAACGAGTGAAGGACTGAGCCTGAAATGGGAAGAGTATCCTGCATGATCCAGGAGGAACCGAATTGGTTTTTCAGGCCCAAACAAGTTCTGAAAAGAGAGTCAGAGTTAGAGGAGGAAGTTTGACTCTTCAGGAAGGGAAAGAGTGATTTGAAGATGCTGTGATTCTTGCTGGTCTCATACGTGAGGGAAGAAGCCAGAAACCAATGAATGCAGGCAGTCTTAAAAGCTGGAGGATGCCAGGAAAGGGATGATCTTCTGCAGATTTCAGGAAAAAAGCAACTTTGATTTTAGGACTTGTGAATTAAAAAACAAAAACAAACAAACAAAAACTTCAACATAATACATCTGTATTACTTTCTGCAACCAAGTTCATGGTCATCTATTACAGGAACAAGAAGAAATTCTCACCCTGTCCCAGGATGCAGAGAAGACTTGAGCCCACACAGATTAGGTGTCCTGACCAGCAATGTTGTCATGGAGAACAAGAGTGCATTGCTTGGACAGTAGTGGAAGTGTCGGAACAATTTGCAACCATTACTAGGAAATTATGGCTCATAGCCTCACCCATGGTGAGCCAGAATACAGTAGGGTTACATTAATGCTGGTGGTGAGCCAGTCATGACAGACATAACCTCAGTGAGCTAGCACATCAGTTAATAACTCTACAGTGAGAATAAATTTTCCTTTCTATCAGTAACATGTCTCCTCCACATTTGGATTATTGTTGCTTTCTTGTCAGAAATGTTGTTGACTTCCGATTTACAAGCCTTTCTACAGTCAGTTTTCTAACACCCCTGCTCTTTCCATTTGCGCAGTTGAATTTTGTGCCAAAGGTTCTTTTCCTGACGTGTCTGACACCAGGTAGGAGTGATGTGATATGGTTGTCAGTTTACTTTGGACACTCAAGTTTCTGAACAGTTACTGACTTGGATTAATTTCATTAATGGTACTTCTAGTCCCTCTCTTTTTCAGGCTTGTTTCAATGTACAGAGACACTATTAGGAGCCATAAGAACTTTTTCTTTTGTGTTTGCGTTTGGCCATGTTCTTTTTAGGGTCCAGACATCTGACCATAAAATTAACTAATTTCAGGGTGAAATTAATTCACTCTGAGTATTACCCTTTTTGGCTAAAACATGAAATATTGCTAAGCTGACCCAATCAATAAAGTGAAACTCATGTTCTTTTAACTTAGTGTGAACAGCAAGGTTTTCAAAAATGTAAAAAACCTGATGTCATAGAAAAATGTGTATCATAGATGTAATTTGACTCATTAATGAAGGAACCAGGAATGATGGTAAAATTACTCCAGAGAACTCTCAAGGGACTGTTTGGGAGAACCCAGAAGAATGTCGTGTTAATATTAACAGATTAAGTGCACACATGGTAACGTCATGTCCAACCAGGAGACAAAATCATAGCATTCAGGAATATCTTTTTCACCAAAGGAAAGTCCTCTGTACCTCTGTGGGGAGTAAACTTAAAAGTTCACATGGAACCTAGCAAAGTATAATCTCCAATAACTAGTAAAGCCGACATTTATAAATTCACCTGTGAGCGAATGAATCTTTGCACAGTTCTGTTATAAAATGCTGCACTATGATATTGGAAAGATGTGAAGTTATTTCTTTGACTTATTTCCAGTTTTTCCAATTTTTCTTAAAAGTAGTAGTAAGATCACTTTTAGGAGAGGCTATATAACTATGTCTCCACTAGCAGCCTTGGAGAGCTAGTTGCTGAGGAGACACTGAATTCAAATGTGCTCTCTCACACACAAGATTAGTTTTTTTCAGAGTAGCTCCAGATTTTTATATTACTAACTTTATGTCATAACTGTGTTTGTGATTATTATTTAAAATTGTCTGCTGTTAATATTTCAGCTGTGGTTTTAATAACAGTGAGAGCTACCGTACATAATACCATATGAGAAATCATCCTGGATTTTTTTTTTCTTCTATGAGAACTCTAGATTGTGTGTGTATAACTTAACATTTTGTAATCACAGATGTTGTGATTACATTCTCAATTATATGAGGCTTATTTCCCCTGAAGGGTATTGTTCACACACATATGAACAGGGATGTGATGGGGCTCGTTTGTGAAGTCCCCAACTTCACCACTTGCTCCCTTTCAGGTCTGCTTTTCAAGGTAACCCCCTGACACCAACTTCCTCCTCCTGACATCTAAGATACTGGTCACCACTACAGTTTCTCACAACTGGAGCATCCTTCATGCATTGAATGCATTTAATGTACTGAGACAGAATCTGGACTCCTTGGAATTAAGAGTTCCAAGGGTAACTCTAGTTTATGGGGACAAATACAGAACTCAAGGACCAGAGAGTAGAAAGATTGCTGATTGACATCTGCTTTAGCCTTAAGTTTGCTGACCTGAAACTGAGTTTTCCAAACTAGTTTAACTCAGGTGCCCGGTCTGGTGTTAACCTTGAGTGAGCAGAATGTCTGTAATGGTTTCCTGAAGGCAATTATTCACTTGTTAATTCTTGCTAACATATTCATCTTCATTGAAAATATTCTCTGTGAGGTGGGATCACATTTGTATCCATCATTCTTTATCTCTGAGTATCCAGCATCCTAAATAAATATTTATTTAGCCTCAAACAGGAGGGGATAAAAAATATTTATTAAATGAATGTAACAAATTATGGAGTGTGTGATACCTGAGAAGTGAGATGATAATGTAAGAGAGAAAATGGCAAGTGGCTTCAGTTTAAGAAATGAGGCAGCGAGCCATCGCTTGAGGTATCAATTGTCCGCTGTTTTTCACTACTCCATTTTACCAGTGGAAATATTCCAGACACAAAAGCTTCCGATGCTATCAAAGGCTAATGTGACCATTTAAATGTCATGCTAACAATAGTGAAGAAGAAGAAGAAGAAAGAAATAGAAAGCTAAAGTAACACAGGCTAAACCTTTATTGGAAAAAAATTCTCTTGGTAGCTAATTCCAAAAATAGACTTTATCTAAAATAAAATCATTATTATGATGGTTGCCTTTAAGCGATACATTAACTCAGAGATAACTGCATTGCTCCAAATGTGTCAGCAGTTAAAATCTGTCTTATTGGAATTTGTCTTAATTTATAGTAATCTAATAATCATGGAACACATTATTTGTATTTGACACAGAGTTATGTTGTTACCATGCACATCCATTCAGCTATATAACAAGGAATAATTGTTTGGTTAACATTATTCTTTCTACAGAATGCAATGTTTATTCATGTGCATTTGGAAGGATGAATTCTTTATAAGCATATTAACAAGATGTGGGGGAAAAACCAAACCTTTGAATTTTCAAAAGATAGCTGCATCAAGTAGTTGAAAATAATTGGGTGTGTTGGTACATACGAATGTTCATGCTAAAAAATGATGGATAAGCCAAATGAAAATAATTTGGGTGTACAAGTAGTGTAATAACTTTGTCAGCCGGAACAAGATGAGTAACTCTAATGTCAGCCCAATAACTGGGAGAAGTCGGCTAACCAGTTGAAAAACAGCTGCATATTTGAGAGGTTACCCATTTATCACAGAAATATACTCTCAAGGGTACTGGCCTGTTTTGTTTTGTTTTTTTTTAAATAATAGATCTTGTACTTACGAAAAGTGGAAAACATTGGTGGGCTTTAGAGTAGTATCAGATCCTTTGTTGTGTCTCCTACTCGGAGTGCAACTGATCTTGACAGGTGCTCTGTTACGTTACTGGTTACATGACATCTTTTTCAGATGAACTGAATGAAAGTGATCTTGACAATGAGTAGATAAGACACTGTCAGAAAGCTGAAAAAACATGTCAGTGTCACAATCACGACACAAACGCAGCAGCACAGCCGCACAGTGTCATTGAGTAAGTGAGTGTCTCTCCACCAGCACCCTGGAGAAGACAGGAAGTGGCTTTTCTCCTAAATATCAGCATTAGTCACAAAAGTTAATAAATAAAATGAAGCACAAAAGTCAGCTTAAAACTCATTTGAAATGACATTTGATGAGTTTCTGAGGTGCATGTGTTTGTATGTGGATCTCTACACGCTGTGTGTGTGAACGAATTTTGAGGTCTTCACCTTTTTAAGAGCTACAAAACCATTTTACTTCCGCCTTTCAAGGATACCATTAAAAGTATGAGTCATGAAATAGGAAAAGTGGTTTTATGGATATAGATTGTACTTTTTCCCTGTTTTATTTTTTCTTGGACTGAAGAGAAACAGTCTTTAATAATATGTGAAAAATAAGAATACATTTAAAAATGTATTTCTAAGCCATGCATTTTGTAAATAGGTGAGTAAAGATGGAGATGGAATCTATCCCAGGTATGAAGAGGGAATTAGACATGTGGGGACTCTTTTTTCTCTTATTACGACTGAAGCGACTCAGAACTGAATTATACAGGTGTGTGTGTATAAAGAGCTCTCTATGTAAGCTATGCTCTGTCTACATTTAAAACACCTTCCTGGAAAGCAGCTTTATCCCTAGAATGATTTTTAATATCTTCATCTCTAGGATCAGAGGTGGTTGATCTCGATGGAAAAAGTTCCCTTCTCTACAGATTGGATCAGGAATCACTGAGCCCAGTAAAGGATATTATTTCTTTGAAGTTTAAAACCATGCAGAGTGAGGGACTCCTCCTCCATCGGGAAGGGCACAAAGGAGATCACATCACCCTGGAACTAAGAAGAGGAAAGCTCTTTTTACTTATTAATTCAGGTAACACTATTTGATGATGTGCTCAAGATTCTGGTCATTTAGATATCACTTAAGGAACTTGATGCCTTTACCGGTTATCTTATAACATCTAAAGGGCCCTATTTACAAATCCAAAGGCTTTTAGGTTGACATGTAAAATATCACACTTGCATGTAAAAACAGTTCCTATTTTGTAGTTCGTTTAAGACTCATTGATGTTTTCTGCAACGGGCAGGTAGAATCACATAGCTATTTTCAAACATCATGAAGAATGGGATGGGTCATTGAAAAATATGGGGGTTGTAAAACCGAGGTTGTAGCAAATATAAAATTTACATTGAAAATGAGCATGTGATGGATAATACTAATAAAGAGAATTAACAGTGGGAGAAATTACAGCAAGGTTGAGAGGATCCTATATTCAAATTCAGGTGAATCTACCACACTAGTGGCTTAGATGGAATGTATGCAAGGAGATTGCAGTTATTATGAATGATACTGGTCCAAGAAAAGGAATACGTCTTTCAGACTCGTGCTATTATTATTATTTTTTCACTTCTAAGGCGAGACAAAAGTGCCCGCCACACACACCTTGATCAACCTCACCCTGGGCAGCTTGCTGGACGACCAGCACTGGCACTCTGTACTCCTCCAGCGCCTGGGCCAGCAATTCAACTTCACGGTGGACGAGCACCGGCACCGCTTCCACGCCCAAGGAGAACTCAGCTACCTGGAGCTGGACCATGAGGTGTGATGGTTACTTTCAGTGCATACAGATTTTATGATGTATCTGTAGTATAGCCACACCAGACGAAGTGCACAGAAAAAGTCTTCTAAACATTTCCCAGACTGAGCTAACTCGGAATAGCAGTTTGGGCACAGGCTGATGTCTCATTGGTTTGCAGTATGTGAATTTATGTACCTGAGCTGTATAGGTACAGGTGTCACATACAGGAAATCTCCACAAAGTGAACTCATTACCACAAGTAAATTTAGAAAGTGTTGATTTTTTGTGCCATTGGGCACCCTGAACCATGATTTATGGAGAGGATGTGGTAATGAACAGATTAATTCATTACCACTTGATTCAAATGCACATGTCAATGTGTACCAGAAATGTATGCAAAATAAAATGTCATTATAATCGGATTTATTATGAAGCAGAGGTTTACCACACATATAAATATGTATTTATATCCACCGACCCATATATACCAAATCCAAGGATGATTAACAAGTTAGAATGATCAAGCTCTAGTGTAAGTGAAAATCAAATGCATATCACCTTTTAAACCTGTGTTTTGTACTACTATGGGTTTATCCTATTATAGAGGCTTCAAATGTGCCTCATTGCAAGTCAACACTATGTCTACCGCACCACGTTTGCCACAGCAGGTCTAATGCTGTTTTACCATGTGTGTTTTTTTTAAATGCATATTTTATTATTTTTAATCTCCGTTTGTAATTTGCAATATGGAAGTGCAGGATAATGAAAAATAGACCTCTTCATGATGATTGCAACTATAGTAACTGGTCATAATTAAGCAGATCAGAAAATCACTAAACAATATTATTGATGCCATTTTTCTTTCTAAGATCAGCTTTGGAGGGATTCCAGCACCTGGAAAATCAGTGTCATTTCCCCATAAACATTTTCATGGATGTTTAGAAAACCTCTATTATAATGGAGTGGACATTATTGACTTGGCCAAGCGGCAAAAACCACAGGTCATCCTGACGGTAAGAGACCTTCACATCCTGAGTAAAACTGCAGCGTTTTCCCACGGTATAGTTGCTGCCTTTTGGATTCCATTTGCTATGATGTTTTAGGGTTTACTCTTACTCTTTTTAAAGTTATCTCTTTGGCAGTATGCATAGAAAGGATTAATTTCTATCTAAAGGAATTATAATTCACAGGGTGTGATTATTTTTATATGAACCCCCAAGGTGGTTTTTCTTTTTACAGCTGATAATTTAATTTTGTTGTGATATTATTACTCCGAGGAGACAAATTTCTTTAGCCTTGTAATTTCCTTAATAAGATATTCTCTGACTAACTCTCTAAATAAGCATACTGTGTTCCAGAGATCAGATAACATCCACGAGTATCAGAGAGGCACTAGAAAAACTTGTCTTCTGCCATGGTCATTCAAAATGAATAGCAGAAACTAATAGGCTATTGGCACATTGCATCTGCCTCGCTGTCCCCATAGCAGCATTAGTCATGCTTTGTTCTCTTCTCATTCTAGGGAAATGCCCAGGCCAGGGTCCAGTCAGGGAGACAGTACCATGCTGGGTTTAATGTGCAGGGGACTTGGATCTTAAGTGTCAGAGGAACTGGGAAGTGAAGGCTAGTGATCAGTAGTATGGAGCTCATTCAAGAATAAACAAGGAGGCGGAAGCAAAGCAGCAGGTCTGTGACCATCCTCCACTGTGATCACACAGACACAGAGACGCATGCACGGGGAAAGAGCAAGAGAGACCACACACAGACTCGCGTATACACACACACACACACTGACACGTACCACATGCACACGGACACAGCTTTGGAGGAAAAGGCCTACATTTCACTTCTGATTCAGATACTCAAGTAGCACAGGTGCTTCCTTTCTGGCTAACTTTTAAGCACAGCCAGATAAAAAAGGGGTGTCTGGAATCAGTGCATTCAGCTTAACCAGTTTGGACCCAAATATCCTCTTGAATACATCTCTTTAATTGTTCAAAATGAAAAGTAGATAAGTTGAAGCTCATGTGGTGTCTATAAATCTCAAAGCCCATCATGAGTTTATCATTTACGCAATATTTACTCCTGGATCTCAGTGTAAGTTGTTAGTATTTATGCGATTATACCATCCAGCAAGATCTTTAAAGATATTTTTAACATGAAAGGGAAAATAGCTCAAAAGAAAAATATAAATATTATACATAGACAGAGACATATGTTGGCAAAACAAGTTCCCAGACACTGCTCGTGAACTGACACCCACACTTCACTGCAAGACGTGCCCCTTACCAGGCGTCAGGCAGCCGTCCAAACAAGCAGAAGACCAAACTGCTGCTGGCAAAATGTTTCCATTTTTATGAGGTTTGTTAATCTTATAATTGCTTTTGCATTATGAGTTAGTGTAGTTCAATCTTCCACTTTTGTTATTTCTTTCACTTGTCTACAGTGCAAGCTCATTCACTATTAACAGAATTGCAGTATAACCAAATATTTTTGTTTAACCAAGGCCAAATGGTTTAATCCTAAGGTATGTGCTGTGAAATAAAGTTGTCTTCAATGACTTTTCCATGGAAATATTTTTTAAGACACATAGCTATAGTAGCCTCTGTGTCTAAGGCCCCAGGACCACAAGACCTGAAGACAAAAGGGTATACATATTGACAGAAAGACAGCTGCGCGTTAGAGAGTGGGACATTTACATGGCAGACCATTGGCAGCCAGTAAAAGGAAGGTGGCCAGGTCATACAAAGGGAAAATTCCGTTAGGAACTTGTAAGTGATTAAAGTCATGGCGTTGGGAACAGAGAAGGAATTGGAAAAATATGGGAGAGAAACTAGCAGCTCATTAGTATTAGTTATGTGAGGGAGATATGGAGAGTGGGCTTAAGTCAGTTTTTATTGTTACATTGAGTAAGATGCTTTGTACAAGTTGAGAGTTGAGGAGAAAAGAATTTAACCAGAAAGCCAAAGATTTGATTCACTATATTGTCACTGGATTGGAAGAGACCTTGGGGTGATGGCAAGGATTTGGGTTTTCATGTTGACAGCAGTTCCTGTTTTCAATCCATAATAACTAGACATTGATCACCAGCTCTGGTCAGTATTTCCAAGTCTGTTACTGATGTGATGGGTCATCCTTAGACCTTTTTCTCTTGCTTTATTTGCAGGGCAATGTGTCATTCTCTTGTTCACAACCGCAGTCTGTGCCTGTGACTTTCCTCAGCCCCAGAAGTTACCTAGCTCTGCCCGGCGCCTCAGGGGATGATGAGATTTCTGCTGCTTTCCAGTTTCGAACCTGGAATAAGGCAGGACTTCTGCTGTTCAGTGAACTTCAGTTTGCTTCAGGGGGTTTCCTCCTCTTTCTTAGCGATGGAAAACTCAAGCTTCACCTCTACCAGCCAGGAAAATTACCCAGTAACATCACAGCAGGTAATAAGTATGTCCCTGCAGGCCAAGCATATGAATTTGAGACATTATCTCTCTGCCCTTTCTCCTTAAATTTCTATGCATAGCCAAAAAATTAATATTTGTTTAATAAATGAAGACGAGTTAATGAACATATCAGTAATTGTCTGAGGGAGACTTGATTCCAGTTTCATTTTAAATATGGCTCTGACAACAGTTCTTACTAGCCAAGGTGATAGTTGTGAGGTGACTAGAGATTTCCTTCCATGATCCTTTTATCCACTCCAGAAAAGTCAGCATATTGTGAAGAAATATGTTTTGGGAAGAATGTGAAAAATTTTGAAATGGACCCAAAAGCGTACCGGGTGTCTTCAGTGGAGATCTGAACTTTGTAAATTAGCTGCTGTTCTTACGGGCTCTGTGAAGGGTGCACTCTATAGCACCTAATGTGTATGGCCAGAAAACCTAAACATTCAGTCACATTAATTTTCCTAGCTGGAGAGTCTGTGCAAGAGTTGACTATATTTTGGGAGAAAGGTCAGGTTTGTGCAGTTTCTCATTTGGGTCCCAAACAATTCTCTCTACTCCTAGGCAATACGGTACCATTTTCATGATTTGAAGTGATATAATTAAGGAGACTGTATGATTGTCTGGAAAATTAATGTCTAATTTAGGTCAGTGCTTTGGGTGAGGGATATTTTTGTCTCTTCATTAAAATTATATTGTTCTTGACAGCAGATCTCCATCACATTCTCATATATATGGAATAACACCCAAGCTAAGTAACCAGAGGTCACATTGTACAAATCGCTACATCACTTTAATAAATGATATTTTAAAATAACTTAAGGTGCTATTGCACACTCCTCTATATTCACTATGACCAAAATTAACATGATTGGGAAGGGAAGAAAATTCAATATAGCCAGGTACTAAATATAATAAAAAAACAAGTGTGCAAATGTTTCTGAAACACCTGGTCTTTACAGACCCTTTTTGTTGTTCATATATCAGTGCAGTTTCACGTGGGGCCTGAAAGTGTGACAGGGTAGCCCATAGTGAACTTGGGTTGCCTGTCTGTGGGGCCTCACCCAAACACTTAAAATGTAATTTCTTGCAGGCACACACAAAAAGGGTAATAGGCTTATTTAAAAAGGGGGAAAGGAAAAGGAACAACCTAGGGAGATAGAGAGGGATACAAAGTAACTGGAATATCTCACCAGCTTGGCTAAATTGGAGCTCTGGTAACCAAACTAACTGCTAGCCCCCAGTCACAGGGTCTTAGAGCGCTTGTTCCAGAGAGAGAGAACTATTACCTCTCCAGAGCAACAGTTGGAAAACTGCTCTCTACTTCTCCCCCAAAGTCCCAGAATGCTGCTTAGCTCCGCTCTTAGGTCCTTGCGGTTCTCTCCTTGGTACTGCTGAGAGTTGTAGTTTTCCAGTCAAGACTCTGCAAAATTTCTTTAGGACAGCCTTCCCCTTAAGAAAAGTTCAATATTAATTATAATTTTTAAACAGTACTGTGCATAATGTTAATAATTAATAGACTACTCAAAATGAGGGCCTAAAATTGTGTGCTTGTCATTAATGTGTAGTTTATTGTGATGTATCTGACAACCTCAGATGTGGTTATATCCATGGTCTGATTCTCAGCCTTAGAAGGAAACTACTTTAGTCAGTGTTCCTCTCGTGAGCCCCAACAAGCTAGCTCATTTCTAAACATTTTCATAATAATCACCATGTAGAAGTACCTAGAATAGGTACATATTCTGTATACACAGAATAGCCAGAATGACTGAAAATCTCTAAACTGATATTTAAGTTGCCATACAGTGAGGTCCATGATGACATCATAAGCCTTAGTCTGATGGTTGACATGAGTTCATAGCAAGGAGCGTAACTATTGATGCCACATAGAGGGTCGTTGCTGCAGCTAACTACCCTCAATTTCCTAGTTCCACTGAAGCAATACATTTGCATTTGAAAGGAGACTGCTGTTTGAATTTTAGATGGTGGCAGCATTGCATGAAAACTGTATGACTTTCAGTGGTGCATCATCACACATCAGCAACTACACTTTCAGTTCACCACTGAAAGTCCACATCTAGACTGCTTACATAAGTACATAAGTATTTGGGCAGGTGGTTAGTTTGTTCTCACATACTTAAAATGTCCATGAATTAAATCAGTTGTCAGAATGTATTACAATACCACTTAAAAAGGACTCAGCACCAATACTGCTGCAGTACTAGATATTTCCGTAAGGATGAATCCATTTTCCATAGCTACTGGAGATATAAATTACTACTGTTGCATGTCTTAAAAGCCCAAAATTTTTTATAACTTTTACAGTGAAATAGAAATTAAATTGCATTGAGGAAGAACTGAATTACACGAATGTTCAAATGGTCAGGCTATGATATTAATGGTATGCGTAGTTTTGCAAATTGTCACTTGGAGTTGTTTGAAAAGATGATGTCAGCCTATGTCATTTTTGAAATATGAAATTTGAGTACAGTCATCGAACTTTTAAAACATATCAGCAGTTAGCATCAGCAAGTCCCTCATTACCCCAAATATTTCCATTCCTTGTCGTCCTTAGAGGTATCAAAGCCGGAATGGAGTAGTTGGCCTCAGGAACCCAATAAAAGATACAATTTCAGCCCCCTTAGTTACAAGAAATTCTTGATGGTAATATTTGAGATGTTGCATTTCTGCTGCTGCTTTTGCCTGGAAGTGGAAATCAGGCCCCAGCCCAAGCCTCTGGCTGCCGCGTGCAGGCTGGTGGTGTATGAGATACTGCTGCATTTTCCATTCGAGCTTTCACGATGCCTGGCTCTGGGACAGCTCTCTTGATTTGTCACACCCAGGAGAAGGCTTTTCTTGTCCCAGTTCCCTTTCACAGTTGGAGTGGTCCTGCCTTACAGGTTATAAACTGCTCCGTCCCCCAGACTCCCACTTTCTCCTAAGTGATTGGCACCAGTGACCTCCATAGTTTTGTCTTGATGAGAGCTCTCGCATGGCCAGATCCTGAATCCTGGTTAGCGGTGGAGTTAGTGAATGTTGGAATTCCTGGCACTGGCGCAGAGTACCAGCAGATACTCGGAAACAAGCAAAACCCTGCAGCTGCCCCTGGAGCAGTGGAGTTTGTTGGCTGCCTCGCACACTAGGCAGAGAACCCCCCTTCACAGCAAGCTTTAACTTGCTCATCTGTATGGATGCCTGTTGGAGTCTAAGAGATGGGGGTGGTGGTTAAGCTGCTACAGTATTTCTATAGCAGTTTAGGACAGGCCCTCAGTGTCATACAGGAAGTAGCTGGACACCATTTCCTCTTGCTTGTTTGTGTGTGTGTCTGTGGCTTAAGTTTGATAGGGAGAAAAGGGAGAGAGAGGGAAGGAAGGGGAGAGAGAGGGGAGAAGGAAGGCAAGAGGGGGCAGCCAAGAGGAGGAGAGTGGTGTTGGGAGCAGTGTACTAGAATTAATGTCTAGTTGCCTAATATTGGGCATAAGGAAAAGATGTAACATTTTCAGTTGCTCTTTTTCCTTCCTCTCTTTCACATGAAAATGGCCTTTATTTTATTTTATTTTGGATAGAGGTTCTCTTCTCATCAGACCTAAAGTGGGAAGGAGTTGTATACCTTAAAAAAAGACAGAGAGAGAAAGAGAGAATCTGATTTGAAGATGACCATTTTTACTACATAAAGTTAAATAAAATGAATTAAATGGGCCCTTCATTAATTAATTGGAATAATAAATCCTATTGATGGGTAATAAGTCTTCTCGTCATAAACCAGTGATGTCTATCACGAAGGAGACTTGAGAATAGCTTTCTGAAGTTTCTCCACAAAATAGCACAATTTCATAACCTGCTGGCTGGTTAGATGGGTGCATTTAATGGTGTCAGATGGCAGGGTGAGCTGTCCTGCTGGTCTTTTGTTCTTAACCTAAACTGGCTCTTACCGTATATTGACATCCAGCCCAGTCTCAGCCTTGCTCCTGCTGTCTGCCTAGTCTGTGCTTACCTGGAGCAGGGCTCCCTCAGGTGTGGCTGCTGGACCTGTTAGCCACGCTGAGCATAAAAAGTTGAGATTTTTCTAAAAATTTTCCTATTTAATAAATCACTACTTGTAAGTCTACGGACAGCATCCAGCATCTGCTTAAGTTACTACACAGTAGACTTCATGATGACATCGTATGACTTGTAATGTTAGGCGCTTAGAAATTGGTCAGTTAGTAAGTTAACTGCTGCAACAACTAAGCATGTGGTTAGTGGATTTGTCTTTTTAATTTTTTTTTTTTTTTGGGAATTCATCCTCACTGACATTTATAAAGCACCAAGTCTAGTTGGTCAGGAAAGAAACTGCTCATCCCCACCGGTGGTTGGAGAAGCAGCTTCCGGTATTATGGAAAGCACAGAAGCTGGGGCCCATCTTCAGACATAGTCCAGCTCTGAGGAGGAGCCGCTGGAGACGCGTGGTGGGGCAGAGGGACTGACGAGTGTTGTGTGTGTGATGCAAGACTTGGTGCGAGAGTTTTTGCTTTAAATGCATTCTCTGATAGGGAGCCCTGGAAGACAAATCTGGGGCACTGGATTTACTTTAGCCCAAGCTCATTCAGTCAGGGATTATGCATTTCTATTCAGCTACCTATTTCAGAGTCCACTCAGAAAGTGTGTCTAGAAGTGATCTAACCTACATTCTCCAGTCTTTTTCATTAGCTTTTACAAACCAGACCAGGCTTGGATGCTTGGAAATATATATATATATATTTTTTTGCTTCATGAATGTATTGTAAAAATGAGCTTTGGTGCCCAAAATGGAATTTTGTGTTCTACTAGATAAGTCCAGGGTGAAGAGCTCCCTCGCCTAAGGGAGACTCCACACATTTTCTACCTAAAAGCTTGTAGATAATCTCTGGGAAATAAATTGCACATAATATCAGCCAAGAGGCTCAGGACCTTTCGGTTTAATAGAGTAATTACATCTGTGTTTACTGATTTGAACTGCAGAATCATACACAGTTGAATATTCACTGGCTGTAAACCTGCCTGGTAAACCCACAACTGAGATGCTTGGGTCCTTCCTACCTGGGGGCTGGGGCTCAGAGTCCATAGAGACCTAATTCCCTATGGGAAGGAAAGGCTGCACCATCTTGTGATTACTGATGCTGGGACTGCCTTGCCTTAGTGGGGAGGAGATAACGATTCTTAGAGTGATTTTGATTATTAACAATTTTTGATTATACACACATACACATACACACACTCTTAGAAAATAAGAAAAAAAAAACATAATATTGACTAAAAACAATCACCACAGCTTTCCTTCATGCTAAAATTACTGTTAGTATACTGGAATGTTTCCTTTCAGTCTTTCCCATATTGATAGAATGAAGAATATAATCAGAATGACATATACATTGTCTGTTCTCATTATTTATGGTGGTCATAGTCTTTGAAGTTGGGGTGAACCCTGAAATGTAAAAGACTGAGCCATGGCTCCTAGGGGAAATGCAGGCTGGTGTTTCTGTGAGCCTCTGCTCATGGTATCTTTATCAATACAGAACCTTGTTTTCTGTATGATGCTGTTTAAAAGCTCCTGATTTAAAAGAAGCTTCATTAATCTTGCACTCATCGCCAACAGACTATAATTAATGCCTGAATGAAGATCTCTAGCACATATGTGGTATGATGGCACTGAGGGACCCCACAGCCCCATCCCTATGCTTGGGAGCCTTTGAAACTGTTAGCTCACCAAAGATGGGAGGGTACATGGAAGACCTATGACCAGCGGCACTTTGTGTGACATAGGTGCAGACGTGTGTCAGTCAACTTGAACTTTCGTCTGCTCTGCACAGTTTTGTGGATGATTTCCAACATACTTCTAGTACTGATTTGGAGTTTACAAATGACATGGAAACTGTAAATTATGAAAATCCACTGTATAGATATGGTTTTCCATATTACTTAATTTTTTTAACTTTGCATTATATAAATACCAGGAAGCTTTCACTTTTCATCTCTGCAAATAGTTTCATATACTTTGACTTGATATACTTTGTTAAATGTCCTCCTATAATATTGTAAAGGATGACTACACAAAGATATTTTTATTCATTTATTTTTTAAAGGATTTATTTATTCATGCACACAGAACTGGGGTTCAGGCTAGAGGTGCAGGGGCAATGAGAGGATTCACCAGAGACAGAGTGGGGAGCAGAATAGGCAGGTCGAGGAAGTACACTCCTGAGGGGAGCAGCAGACAGGTCAGGAGAGGTCTGCCCACCATGTGGATCACCTCCAGGGCGGGGATTGGACTTTGTTGAAACAACTGCCGCTAGCTTCAAAGAGCTGTGCCTTATCCTGTTACAGCGCAACCAGGCAGGGCCCACAAAGCTATTTTTAAAAGGCAGATGAATTGTTTTATTGGGTGTAACTTCAAATTCTAGAATATATCTATGTGTTTCCTGAGTCCCTCCCCATAAAAGATAACTTACATGACACAAACTGCCAACTAGTCTGTGCCAAACAATTGAAAAAATTAACAGTGTAGGACTATCCAGAGGCGAGATGGTGGTTCTCTCTACCCAGGAACGGGGGGATAATGTTGCACCCTTTTCCACATACAGGGGGCCAGTTTCCACCTCGGACTGTGTGGGCTGATGTTGCCTTCCTAACCAGGTGCTACCGTGTTTACTGTTGAGTGACACCTCATAAACTGATTTTCTGTCCTGCAGGTAGTGGATTGAATGACGGGCAGTGGCATTCTGTCTCTGTTGCTGCCAAGAGGAATCACCTGAGTGTGGTGGTGGATGGCCAAGCTGCTTCTGCTGTGCTTTCCCTGGGGCCCGAGCAGGTTTCTTCCAGTGGCACCTACTATTTTGGAGGTGAGGGAAGAGGTCAGGCCGTATGTGCATTTGAACCATGTTTGTGCTTACTGCCCCGTGCCTTGGGGGAGACATCCTGGTGTCACCTATGTCATCAGGACAGAATAACTTCTCACTCTCTTGGAGCAGGGACACGCTGAGTAAATCAAGATGACAAGGTATCTGTTCAAGGTAGACTTATTTATGTTCCTCATTTCTGTGAGATTGATTGTAAGTAGTCCATTCCCTTGAGTTCTTCCTTTTAAACTTTGTTATGTTTTCCTAATGTTAAATGGTCTTTTTCTGAATTTATGGGCTGGTTTTATTGCTGCCCTCAAGCCTCCGAGCATCCCTGGAGCCCCTAACCCTTCCCCACTGCCCGATGAAGAAGGGCAAGGTGGCAGTGGACAAATAATCTAGCTTAATTAGCCACAGAAACCTCTTCTCCTGGCTAAATAATGTACTGTACTGATACATTTGATAAACTTAGGGCATCCACATTCAACACCTGGCCACCTCTTAAGAGAACAAACACAAAGGAGGCACTTACCTCTCCAGTAGATTCTTGCTTGAAATAAAAGCTTATGAAAGGAAACCTTGGAAATGGAAAAGAGTCTTGAGTCCTGGAAACTTAAAAAGAAATGCTATTTGCCATTAGGAAGGCAACATTGTGAAACTGTAAGTAGTACAACTTATTTCCAATTGTGAGTTGAGAAGTTTTTTCTTTTATTTTTCATTTTAATTGTTGCTTGTGTGTGGAATCGTTTTTGAATTTGGTGGAAGTGGTTCAGTCTTCATTATTCATCAATAAACTACTAATCCCTTTCTACATTTGACAGCATCCAGACACACAAATCAGTCATTTAGTATTAAATGCAGCTTCCCCATCCAAGCAAGCAAGCAAACAAAAAACCCTACATAATTTGTTACTGTGAAAGATGGCGTTATACGATCTTAAAAAGATATAATTGCCCCCATTTGTTAAATTTGTTCATTTCTGAACTGAGCTTCCTCTCCTTCTGGAATATATGATTGCCTTTGTGGCAGTCCATGGGTATACATTCCTTGAATAAATGGTAAGATTTATTGAACCCTTTAACCAGGAGTGTTCATTTCAAAGGAAAAGATGTAGCAGCACTAAAACAGATAAACAAAAAACAAAAATAAAAACAAATAAACAAAAAAAATGTTAAGCAATGCAAAAAAAGAAGACTAGATAGAAAGAATTGATAGACTGGATAAAAGTGTAAGTCATGACAATAGAATAATCATTCAAGAAGTGTTTTATATCCTTCGTGTTCACATTTAACTACACCTGCTTATTTTTGTAGATTTTTTCATTGCTTTTATTGATGTGTATTTTGTGTTGACATCTATAACATTTGTTGTCTGTAATTTTACATGTTTTTGTGCTGATGCATAGGGCACATATTTAAGTCAACTAAAAATTTTTGAATAGGTTGAGATCTGCAAAATTACAAAGATAAAGTTCCCATATACTTCATACCCAGCTTCCTCTATTGGTCATGTCTCGAAACCATAGATACATTTTAAGGAACACAATTTTTTTTTTAATACACATGTACATGTGCATTTCCCAGCTTAAGAAAGACAGTGTTAGCAACAACCATTTCTCCCTCTGGAATCATCTTGTTCTTTTCGCCAATACTGTTAAATTTGGGGTTTACTTTCTGCTTGTGTTCTTTATGACTTGACATCTATTTCTGTGTAGCTAAATTCCTAAACAATAGAAACTATCATAGTAAAATCCCAACTTCAGGACTTAAAAGAGGAGTGGCCAATATTAAGCTTACTTAGGTATTTATTCCGTCTCAGTGGTGTCCTTCAGGACATGAATCTGATCTTGGCTAAAGATGTCTAATCATTAACTCTTATAGTACATTCTAGGGCTGAGAATGAGGGTCTACAAGAGAGCAGGAGGTCCTCTGATGCCCCATTTCTCCCTCTTCCCCCAACCTGCTGTCTCCAGAACCTGCCACAGGAGCTCCCTTCTTGTGGAAGACGCTTAGGACTCTGGAGTAGGGAGTTTCGGAAACTGGAGGTAGACTGAAGGGGAGAAGCTCCCAAGTAGACGCATCACCCGCTCTTGTGAGGCCCCCTGGGGCTGTGGGCAAAGTGTGGCAGCATGCAGAGTAGAAGAGGGTTCCCTGTGGTGTAGCACCGGCACAGCGTCCTGATCCTTTGAGTGGTACTGGCGGTGGGGTGACCAGCTTCTCCCAGTTTTAACCTTGAAAGTCCTGAAGCTTAGAACATCCCCCTCTGCATACCGAGGGGGAACTCTGACCTTTGGTCACCCTAACAAACCTTGTGTTCTGTGTGGGTCAGAGTCCTCTCTAGACGCAGATGTGTTTGAGCTAGGAGGAAGACTGCTTAGGTAGGCGATTCTTCACCCAGGCTGTCTTCAGGTAAGTAAATCTCCGCACTGCGGAACAATGCCCACTTCCCAACAGTGCTTTGCTGCCCTAGGAAGCCTACTGCAAGTCCCGGTGATCTTCTACCCAGAGATCTAGCCTCACCAGGCTGTAGTGATCCCCGCAAAGGAGTAGCCTGTACCCGTGGTCCAGTTGTTCGTCCATTCCATGCCAGTTTGGAGAGTGGAATCACTTTGGGAGTGACGGGGCCCCTGAATCTCAGCCCCTGCCTGCTCATCATTTCCCTGGTTCAGATGAATGCTTTTTCAAAAGTCAGACTGCAGGAAGGTAGTTTGAGATCAGTTTTTAGCTTTTACAAATTACGTATTTTAAATCTGGAATCAATAGGATGAGGATGGATGGCTAACTTCTGTATATTCCTCTATGCAGTTTTTTTTTCCTCTTGAACAACACACAGTACAGCAAAGCTGAGATATGAAACTTCATGCAGAGTTCTCACATCCCTGCTTGTGTAAATCAAACAATATCTGTCCAGTGAACTGGTTGCAACACCACGAAGTCAAACCCGACATCTCACTTCTGGTACAGTGACACAGTGATAATTTATCTGTCATCCTCAGAGGTGTTTAACATGCTGACTGCCTCTAGTAATGGATCCGTCCATTAATTCAGCATTAGGTATTCCCCAGAAATCTTCATATTTTAGAACTTTCATCTTAAATGGGTTTAGTTCAGGACTTTTCTCTGCTGTGGCATTATGTTGACTTGTGTATGCCTGTTATCTTGGACTAATGAGGCTAACCTGGGCTGAACCCGTCTTTGTTCTCAGAATCTCTTGCTTATTAAACAAGGTAGTTAGGAATACGAAGTGCATTCTGTAAAGTTCCATGACCTTGTCTTGTGACTATAGTTTACTTAGTTTTCTTTCCTACAGGCAGATTGCACAATTTGTTTTATTCTGAAATAGTTTGAAATTAGGAAACACCACCTGGAGAAAAGGAGATTAGCAGAGCTGTTTATATTCCTGACATGTTGTAGTGTCCCCCAAATAATATTGAACTATTCTCCTCTCAGTTTCTGTTTTCACATTCTTAATTGGTTAATAAGTCATCTAGGAAACACATCGAGATTATAGTAACCACGTCTCATGCCTCAGAAGAATACCAACCACTGAAAATGCGTTTAGTACCAAGTGCAGTAAATTGATACTCAAAAGTCTTTGACCCCATTATCTTCATATATTAAATTTGAAGCTTCAAAGTTTCCATTATGCCATATGAAATATTTACATGTGTCCAATAATAGTTTTAAACACGAATATTCGTCTTTACTGGCCATGTAAATGTATTTTGTTAGGAAAACAAAGCATTAAGGGAAAATATCTTCAGTCAAAATATTTAATTATAATGGTACTTCTCAATAGAAAACTAACATGGTTTGTATAGGAATTAAGAAGTTGCTGATTCATTTATTATTATTTGAAATTGTAATAGCGGTTGACAACCAGAATGGCAAAGCAAGATTAATGAAAACTATATAAGTATAATATATGTGTTCATACTCCATAAAATGATTTATTTCACTTGAATGGAGAAACACTTAGTACATCATTAAACCTCAGACAATAATGGTTGCTCTTATATTTCTTTATTATTTCAATGATTAGATAAACAGTTAAGGGTAATGTTAGGAAAAAAATCAATACAAATGGACATTTTTTTTAATAGTAGTTTATTTTTACATCATTTTGTGCCTTTTTCCATCTCAGTTGTAATCCCCGTGGGCTTCCCATCACCACATCCCCCATGTGCCATCACCATAGTCCAGTGCACTTTCCCTCCCCATTTTTGTTCCCATTCCCCTCTCCACCCTGTTCATTATTATTATTTTATTATTTATTATTATTATTTTATTATTATATTTTCTCGCCTGGTCCGTTATACTCATGCTATGAATGAAACAATCCTGTATTTTGCAAATGGGCATTCTTCTATGAGTGCAAAAAAAAAAAAATTCAACCGTTGAATTTTTTTTTTTTTTTTTTAAAGATTTATTTATTTGTACATACAGAACTGGGGTACAGGCTAGAGGCTCAGAGGTGGTGAGAGGCTTCACCAGAGACAGAGTGGGGAGCAGAACAGGCAGATCGACGAAGTACACTGCTGAGGGGAGCAGCGGGCGTGTCAGGAGAGGTCTGCCACGCCATGTGGTCACCTCCGGGGCATGCGGGAATCGAACTCATGCGGAAGTGGCTTTAGCTTCTCAATGCAGTGCTTTAACCCGCTGTGCCACAAGGGAGGGCCCAGTGAAATGTTTTTGACATTACATCATGGTTTATTAAAATTCATATGCTATAGCTCTCACATGCCATGAAAATAAAGTAATTAGTTGGGAATTTCATTGCAAGTCAGTATAACTCTTTTCCCAAGTAGTTAGCTTTAAATACGAAGGTTATTTTACCACCTCTGATTTCTCTTTTCTTATCTGCAGTACACATTTTCATCCTTCATGCTCTTCTTCTTGCATTCCAGAAGGTTGAGTTTCTGTTTTTAAGCTGTTCACAATTTATTAGAACTGGCTACATGTTTAAGCTTCTGAAGCTAGTATTTTTAAATTGTGGGTCAAGTTTGTATCCTTGCACATTATCATTGTAACAGTAGCAGTTTGCTCTGCATCCTCCAGTGATAAAGAGAAATGCTTTGTATTAATTTCACTTTGTAATTTAGATGAAACTAATGATGATGTAATGGGCTTTTTCTCCCTTTTTTAATTTCAAGAAAAATAATCGGTTTTCTTTTTTTCATAATGAAGTATTATTCTATGAGACTGAATCCTGATTCATTATAATGTACCCTGCTTTTACTTTGTTTTGTTTCATTTTTATTAGGTTGTCCTGACAACGGCTTTGGATCCAAATGTAAAAATCCACTTGACGGATTTCAGGGCTGTATGAGACTCATTTCTCTCAGTAACAAGGTGGTAGATCTGATTTCAGTTCAGCAAGAGGCCCTTGGGAACTTCAGCGATCTTCAGATAGACTCCTGTGGAATTACAGACAGGTGAGGACGGTCTCACTTCTCTTTTGACCTGCTTCATTTTCAAATTTTGGGTAGCAGATTAAAAATTATATATGAAGCGAACACTTTTCTCTCCTCTTTCACCCCATCATCTTTTCCACTAGTGGTGGATTATAGTCCCATTAGAAATATGAAAAACATGTCTTTAGTTTTATATTTAATATTCCCAGGGATAAAAGTTAGCTAGACGATAACTAGCTACCAGTTCACAAAAGATAATTTTGATGCTGGTATAATTTTAGGTGGGTATCAGTGTATCAAAAAAAATCATAAATTCAATAGTGATGTTGCTCATCTGGCACCAATACAGCAGAGGTCAGTCAGCAAAAGGCATTTTGCTTCCCTGACAGTTGCATATTTTCAGAGTCAGGGATTTAGCTGTCTGCTATGCTCCTAATATGTACCCTCTATAGCCCATTACTATCTCCTCTGCAGAGGAAATGAAAGCTCTGGAGCTGTAGTATTGATCAAGGTGTAAGGCTGGTTCAGAAGTTCCAGTAGAAACTCTAGTATAATCCATGGAAGTTCAAGATTTTGGAATTAATTGTAGAGGACAAGCAACTTTCCCCATACTAATTGATAGTTAATAATTAAGAGTTAAGAGTCTAAAACAACTCTTAACTCTTAATTATACAATAGCCCAACTATGTTGCCAGTGATGCCTGAATATCAGACCTGTTCATTATAATTACTGTGTTCGGGAGAATATTATGGTCATTAAAGATTAAAAAAATCAGCCAGTGATGGTTTAAGAACTTCTCCCTTGTGCCTGGGAGACTAGTTCTTTCTGATTTCATAGCTTTGAATTTGAATTCAGGTGTTCACCGTTATCCTAGAGCCTAAAGATACCTTGCTTCATTTAATTTTCCTAAATGTGATCATGTTATATAGATTTTACTTCAATATTATTAATTCCAGCCGAGTTTTACATTGTGTGAAAGTCTTGGAATTTAAAGTGAAATGAACAAGGAATCAGGGTAAACCAAAATAGTACATGTCACTTCTGTTTTGGGGATGTTGATGTATACATTTGTTCAAGTTCACAAGCAATGAAAATAATGCTGGAAATGTCTAAGGAAAAGCTTTGGAGGCTAGAGAAAATGAGTTGATGGATTTTTTTTTTTACTTTGTATTGAAGTAACACTAAGAAGAGTGGGTGAAAGGTAATTGTTCACTATACAGTGTTATTAGGTTATCAGTAGTAAAACAGGACTACCATTTGATGAATTTAAATAATTCACCATCCAGGTTTTGATGTTGCAATTTAAAAATATGAGAAATCTAGCCTCATTAACAAAATTAAGGAGAATGTATTCAGCATCTTTTAATAGCAGATTGAGTAGAAAAAGTACATGTGTTACAGTAATTAAAGATTCTTTCTTCAAAACTTTAGGCACAGCCACTCCCATCTGCATCTTATATGGTTGAGGTCCTTTAAAAGCCAGCCTACTTTGCCCTTGTCTTTCTGATTACCAACTGAGATTGTTTTCATTTTTTATATTTTCCTTTTCCTTCTAGAATGGCACTGATTTGAAATGCTTTAGGAAATTAAATGCATTACGAAACATTCTTTGAAGGCAGTCTTGTGAATCTACAAAAATTCTGGAATGTATAGAAAGATGCTCATTTTATTTTTTATGGAGTTTGTAAAATAATGTGTTGTATAAGTACACACACACACGTAAATAAAGAAAGAACTTATAATAGAAAGTCTTCTAAATAAAATGCTAATCTCCCTGAGGAGATTAGGAGTTTCGAGCCCAAAGTTTGGTCAAGCTGACTGAAACAGTAAGGCCCTTTTACACAGTTCTTATAGCCAGAAAAAAGGTAATAAATAGCATTATATTGACTCAAAAGTGGAAAAATCCTATAAGCAAAACACAAAATTTTCATGTTTTGGTCTTAAGGGAGATGACCAAACTCCTTTATTAACATATCCCTGGCATGCTTTGTTTAGTTTTTATTCTGGTGAATGAGAGTATGCCAAGCCTTGGTCTCAGTGGGTGTCAATGTCTCTTTCATTCTAAATTCTAGAAAGTGCCAAAATCTTACTAGGCTTGAGTTAACACCTGAAGTTTCCCAACATTTTGTCCATGGTGCCGACTGAAGGTCACTTTATAGGGTCCCAAGACAAAAGCTATTGCTGACACTTTCATCTAAGAAGTGGCCTGGGTTCAAACAACTTCAGAAGTGTGTTTGCCCTAGCAGCTGAGGAATTATTTGAAAAAGTAATATATTTTAAAAGTATTTTTATTTCATTTTTAATTAAACACAGTTACTTAGTAATTGCACATGTTTACTCTTGGGTCCTATTCAGCTTTTCAGAGCTTGAAGTGAGATTAGACACTGCCACCCTCATTGTTAGTTCAGCATTGATTTCCCGGGGTACTTGTTTGATATCAGCTCCTGAAAGTCCAACTTCTCCAAGACAGGATGTTATTAAAAGGAATGTAATTCCTGTTGAAATTGAACTACTTCAAGCTAGTATGTCCCACAGCTTGACAGATTGAGTGTGTTGAATGTGCCTCTTGAAGAAATAGGTTGACTATTTCTATGGAAGATTTAAATTATCCTGGGAACCCCAGTGAGTTTGATCCTGTACCTGGGACACCGGGACACCCAGCTTGGAATTCTGGCTCCTGACACCTTCAGAGTTCCTGGGTCTTATACCAAGTGAACAAAGCTCTCCCTCCTTTCTACCTTTTCCTTCCTCCCCTCTTCTTGTTCTTTCTTTTAAATATTCAAAGTCATTGCACATCAGTGTGACTACATGTTATTTTATGTAAGCAAGTAAGGCTTCTGGGACCATACCAAATGAATTTACATCATCTGGGGATAATAAAGGGATCTATATGTAGGGCATGTTCAAAATTAAGCACACTACCTGGGTATTGGTGGAAATCTAATGAATTTATTGATCTAAGGTTAGTTCGGTGATTAAAGGACCTTCACAACACACTGAATAACTATTCGTGTTCAATCTGCTCTTTATGCTATGGTGGGTGCTCTTTGTTTTACATGAAGGGAGGACTGAACTTCAGGCATGAATGATTTACATCTCATAATACCTAACACTGAAAAGCGGTGATTATATCTGCACCTTCTTTTAGGTGTTTGCCCAACTATTGTGAGCACGGTGGTGAGTGCTCCCAGTCCTGGAACACCTTCTACTGCAACTGCGCCAACACTGGCTACCAGGGAGCCACCTGCCACAACTGTGAGCCCAGCACACCTGCTATTCTTGCCTCTGCCCTGACTCCCTTGTTCACTCCTTTTTGGTTGCTCTGTGAGATTCTTCCATGCACATACAGCTATGTCTTCGAAGGCACTAGCCTCCATTTTCACATGTGGAATTCTGTTTTTTTTGTTTTGTTTAGTTTTGTTTTTTAACTCACACCTCTTTTCAGGAAACAGTCAAGGCAGCTTATAGAAATACATATTTGGAAGGGTAGAAAAGAGAAGGATAACTGGTAAAAAGAGAATATGTACAGAAAATAAGAGGTGGAAGAGTAAAAGTAAAATGGAGTGCAGAATAGGTCACCCTTAACTTCTCTTGTAACCCAGTTAATGAGGGTGGTATAGGTGGTAGGTGATAATTATATTAACTGTAATCATTTTACTGAGCACATTCTAAATAGCCATCTGTAGGTCTAGCATTTTATGTCCCAACTCATTTAATTCTTCTGTGTGGAGGGGGTACTCTCATTACCCATAGTCAACTCATGTGGAAACAGAAATTAACCAGGCCCCAGCTCCTGAGGTAGTTGAGGCAGAGTGAGGGTAAACACTTGGAGCTGTGCTCCGGGGCTTGGGGTGGCGACCAGCTCCCTTCTCTATACTCTAAGCCATGCCCTACTGTTTGCATGTGTTGTAAGATTCATGGCGTCTTGTCAGCCATGTTTAGTATGCACAATGGGAAGACCACCATGTCTGGCTTTTTTCTTTCTCATTTTTTCGTGTTTTACGATGTCTGAGCACCCTAGCTCCGATCCAATATTGTATAGCCTGGACTTCAAGCAAGAACACTAAGGCAGGTGTTAGCCTCACTGCCCTTGCTGTCTCCACCATAGACTGCTGCTTTGCGCTCTCGCCAGAGTGGAGACTGAATCCTGCACTCCCAAGCCCTGGGGCTTCCAGAAAGTACTCTCAGAAGCCCTGATTCATGGCTGGTCAGAGAAGGTGCAGTAAGAGCACCATGTCTGCAGCAGGATAAGCTAACTAATTTGTGGGGCTGATGTATTGGGGTGTCTCACAAGAGCATGAAGAATTCCTGCTGTGGCTCAAGCCACATCTTACTGTAATCTGAGACCAAATCACTTGTTCCAGGCCCCATAGATAGACATTTTTTATTTTTATGTCCTTCATCATATACTGTGATAACTAGCTCAAAACAGAAAGCTAATTTTATGGGTTATACTTGGCTATTTTTAATTGTAGTCACTGGCTGAATCTAAATATAAGCACAAACAGCTCAGAGGAAAAGATGTTAACGATAAATACATAAGGTATTTTTGTCTGTGGCCACTTGATCTGGTCATTGAATTCACTTAGTAGAGTCTCAAGCAGGTAGTCTAAGTAGAGCTGAACGGCTTTTAATGTTCGCTTGCTTTTTCCTGTAACCACTCTGAGAAATGGGATGAGGAGGACACAGGTTAGAGTGCAGGCATCACTCTCTGAAATGGGGAAGGGCAGGAATGGGCCCTTTAAAAGGTGTCACTTGAAAATAGCAGCCATGTTATAAAAACTCAAGCCATACACATAAAACAGAGGTACTCCCTGTCCAATCCATATCACCTCCACTGGTGGCCCTCGCTCCATGGTCCTGTGTATCCTTCCAGCTCTGCCAAGGAATTGATGAACAGATGCATATGCATACCGATAGAGATGGATAAATTAACCATTTTTACATGCCTGCTTCACTGCACAAAAATACCAGTGTGACTGGAAAGCAATCCAGGCTTTTATTTCCAGCCACGTCATATACAATTGAAGCAAAATAAAACCATCCGATTGTGGAAGAGTAAAGTAAATTGGTATGATTATCTGAAATTTCTGTAACTCTGAGCAAATCAGTTACATTATTTCCTATTGTCTATTGTCTAAAAACCCACTTAACATAATTTTCAAAAATTTAGAATAGATCAGCGAAGGACAGTCAGGGGATGTTTTCTCATTCAACAGAATAAGAAGCTTGATGGAAATTATCAGTACATTTAGCCAAGTATTCAATAGACGTGTGCATTATATGCAGTTGTTAACAGCAAACTTTGTACATGGCAAATATATAATCGTATAATGAACAAACATCCAATTACGGATTGCAACACATTTGAGACCACTTGGGGGCATGTTTCATATAAATATTTCTTCTGCTTTGAATTTTAATGATCTTAAATTCTCATTACAGAGCATTAGAGAAAGTTTCTTTGGCAAAGTACCTTTTAAAATATTGATGAGGGGCTTTGTAAATCATATTTGTTTTAAGAAGAAAGACTTCATCTACAGATAATTTTATGTGAGAAAGGAAAGTAGTTACAACATTATTTAAAGCTTTTCTATTGCATAATTATTTGGATAACAACAGATTATCTAAGGCGATTACACTATTGTGCTTCAGATGTTAGATTATTTCAAGGTGAAACTAGCATCAGACACTCCTTGGAAGGCAACTTCATAAAATGCAGCCTCATTCTCTTTTTTTTAATCTGTCCAGCCTACCTCCATCCATCATCCATATTACTTTAATAATAATAATAATAATTAAAAAAAAAACGAGTTTTGTTTTAAGCTATGTTTTGTCTTCTGTGATGTACATATTAAATTTCAAGACTTGGAATATTTTGTATCCAAATTAAAATTTTAAGAGAGTACTTTTACACTATTCCATTCATCATTTATGATTTTTTAACAGCTCTCTATGAACAGTCATGTGAAGCCTATAAGCACAGAGGAAACACTTCGGGGTTTTATTATATAGATTCAGACGGAAGTGGCCCCCTGGAGCCCTTTCTCCTGTATTGCAACATGACTGGTAAGTCAGCCAGCTTTCATTCAGTAGTTGAGTTGGCATGAATGCCTTAGGCCTACAGGATTAAAGTGAGACAAGTTGGATGTTGACCTGATTTTCTGCTTGATTAAAATGTATGTTGTTCAGTAGAGGAACTGAACATAAATGCTGTTTCTCTTCTGTGCATGCAGTATCTTGACAAACATCTAATAATAAATGTATCTTACTAAGTTCCTAAAACAAAAGGGGTAGACTTAATTTCTCCAAGAAGAGTGATAGATGTGAAAGCTTTGAGAAATATTTACTTTTCAAACATAGGTAAACATGAAGTTCATTGTTGAATCCTTAATTAATAATTTTAAATAGAAATTGATAGTCATGGGAAATGTGTTTGATTAAATCCCAACATCCACTCAAGACAAAGCAAAATAAATAAATAAATAAATAACAAGACGGTAAACTAACAGTAGAAAGCAAATTCCATAAGTTGTTAAAAAGGATTCAGAAAAAATACTGTGGCTGTATCATTATTTATGGTGAAATACTGAAAACTTTCACTGTTTGCCACGTAAACACAAGATGCTTCTGTTCACATCGGAGGCCTTGCCCATGGAATAAAGCAAGAACAAGAAATAAAAAAGCTTAGTTACAGATCCCAATCCTAAAAGTACTGTCAAAAGTATGGTACTAAAATTTTTATGCAATTTTTTTAGCAGTCAGCTTGTGTAATAATTTTAATGAAAACTGGCATGCATGCTTCAAAATTTATCAGTAAGTTTGAAGGGACAAGAAGAAACAAATTTAATCTTGAAGAATAAAGGACTTCACTTTCCTTGATATTGAAGACATTATACTGATAGGCTAAGTAAAATAGTATGTGTTTGGCACAATGTAAAGGAATAGACCAGTGAAACTAAGTAGGGATCTGTCATCAGACTCACCCACAGAAAAAGAGTTGATTTATTGGGAAAGTGACAATGATGTGCAACCTAATAGAGATGGTCTTCTCAATCATTTGGGTGCTGGGGAAATTGTAGATAAATGTTGCAAAAATGAATCTTAATGCCTTCTTCATCAGACACAAGCAAACGAATTCTAGGTGAACTGTGTCAGGAACAAGTGCCTATTTAGATTCAATTTCAACTAATAAGACAAAATGTTTTAAAATGAACTTTACAAATTTTAGATTACTAAAGTGATAGGAGTTTCAGTGTCAACTCCTCAGTCTCATACCATGTTTTCTTTTAAGTGTGTGTGTGTGTGTTTGTGTGTGTGTGTGTGTGTGTGTGAGAGAGAGAGAGAGAGAGAGAGAGAGAGGGGGAGAGAAAAGAACTGGGGTATAGGCCAGAGGTGAGGGGTTGAGAGGATTCACCATAGACAGTGTATTTCAGAATAGGTGGAATTAACTGAAATATCCTTCTGAGGGGAACAGTGGGTAAGTCAGGCGAGTTCTGCTGCATCTATGCGGGTTATTAGCTCCCTGGCTGGGATAGAAGTCGGGCTACAGTGGTGACAGTGCTGAGACTTCACCCTGTGCCTCCAGGAAGTGTCAGACTATGTTTTCACTGCTCTGTAGGTCCCCGCGACTGGTAGTGAGTGTATTTGGCAGCATACGTGCACGGCCTTTCCGTCATTATAGGAAGTTTGTGCTGGGCATTGTTATACTAGGGAGTAAGTTTTATGCAACAAAACAACCAAAAAGGGGGGAATAGTTGGTTGAGTAGGAGGTGTTACAGAGGAGGATTTATTCCTTCAACTCAATCAGTGAGTGTCTGGGAGAGAGGAAACCGCAGGACTCTGTCCCGAGGGGTGTCCATTGCGACTGGCTGATGGGGAGTGATTTCGTATTTTACTTTACCTCAAGGGCTTCTTATCTGTGTAGAAGCCTTGCTCGTCTTTCAGTAGATTTATATCAGTGCCACCTTTGCAGTAAATCAGCCATCCACACGGGAGTCAGGAGAGCAGGAGAGGGAGAGCCAGGAGGTCTTACATCAGTGCTCTAAGGTCTAGCTCTGCACTCTGAATGAGCCAGGGGAGAATGGAGGGTATTAAGCTAGGATCTGGGCCATCTAACTTCCTGCAATAGGATGGTGATTGTCTCTGTGTTGGAGCCTGTCTAGGAGCAGAGATAGAAAGGAGTTAGGAGACAACATGGTACTTGTGTGGCATAAGACATGTATGTTTCATATATAACACGGTATATTATACATTATACTTTGTATTATAGGTATAATTATATATCTGCATCTATGTTTCTATATATCCACCTATAACAGGAGTCAGAACCTGTTTGGATAGCAGTTCAGGAAATACAGAATCCAGGCAAGAGCTGGAGATGCTCCTGTGCTGGTTAATAGCAATATCGTGCCCGCCCTGGTGGTGCAATGGGTTAAAGTGCAGTCACTGCAGCACGAGTTCTATCCCCGGCCAGGGGGTGACCCACATGACACAGAACACTTCTGCTGACCTGCCTGCTGCTCCCCTCAGCAGTGTACTTCATTGAGCTGCCTGTTCTGCCCCCTACTCTGTCTCTGGTGAATCCTCTCACCCCCCACTCCAACTCTGGCCTATACCCCAGTTCTGTATGTATAAATAAATAAATCTTTTTTTTTGAAATTTTTTAAAGATTTATTTATTTATTTGTATAGAACTGAGGTACAGGCCAGAGATGCGGAGGGTGAGAGGATTCACCAGAGACAGAGTGGGGAGCAGAAAAGGCAGATCGAGGAAGTGCACTGCTGAGGGGAGCAGTGGGCGGGTCAGGAGAGGTCTGCCACGCCATGTGGTCACCTCTGGGGCAGGCGGAGATCGAACTCATGCGGAAGTGGCTTAATTGTGCTTTAACCTGCTGCACCACCAGGGAGGGCCCAGTAAATAAATCTTTTAAAAAAATTAGCTGGGCTCTCCCTGGTGGCACAGCGGATTAAGGCACAGCACTGAGAAGCTAAAGCCACTTACGCATGAGTTTTATCCCCGCCTGCCCTGCCCCGGAGGTGACCACAAGGTGTGGCAGACCTCTCCTGACACGCCCGCTGCTCCCCTCAGCAGTGTACTTCAATGATCTGCCTGTTCTGCTTCCCACTCTGTCTCTGGCGAAGCCTCTCGCCGCCCCTGAACCTCTGGCCTGTACCCCTGTATCTGTATGCACAAATAAATAAATCTTTAAAAAAAAAATTAGCAATGTTGTGGGGAAGCAGGTTGGAATTCCTCCATGATTACCTGTGAGGTGTGAGAAAACAAATGAAGTAGCACTACATCTGAGTAGTCACTTTTGAGATGTGGCACTAAAGTTGGAGGGGAGAGATCAGGAGCTCAGTTTTAGTTTTACGCTGAGATGCTTGTTACACAGTCAGATGAGATGCTGAGAAGGCAGTTGAGTGTGGGAATATGGCTGTGACAGGTCCTTGGTGGTAATGTGGGACACTACCAACTGCAGGGTGGTGGGTAGAACCTGGCTAGTGGATTTTTTTTTAATTAATTATATACAGTGTGTCTTTAGAGATTTGTTTTTTTCATATACCACAGCTGCATGGCTTCCATTTGTCCTCACAACCATTTTATTTTAAAGATTTATTTATTTATGCATACAAGACCTGGGGTGGAGGCCAGAGGTACAGGGGGATGAGAGATTCACCACAGACAGAGGGGGGAACAGAACAGCAGATTGGGGTCTGCTGCGCCATGTGGGTCTCCTCCTTGGCTGGGGATCAAACTTGTGCTGCAGTGGCTGCAGAGAGCTTCACAGTGCTGCGCTTTAACCTCTTGCACCACCAGAGAGGGCCCCTCACATCCATTTCTCTTCGTCCGCTCTGGCTGCTATAACACAACCCCACAGACCAGGTGGCTTATGGATGATAGGAATGTATCTCTCAGTTTGAGAGGCTGGGAAGTCCAAGGTCATGGTCCATATGGTCAGACGAGACTCCTCTTCTGGGCTGCGGACTTCTCAGAAGGTGCAGGGGGCTAGGGCGCTCTGGAGGGATCTCCTTTATAAAATCTCTAATACCACTCAGCAGGGCTCCAACCTCATGACCTAATCACCTCCTGGAGGTCCCATATACTAATAATATCACTTTGGGGTTAGGTGATTTTATGCATAGAGGTTATAGTGGGGTAATCAGGTGCAGGGCAGGCGGGAAGGGGCTGCTGCGAGGCTTAGGATACAAGTGAGCCTCCTAGCCCCCTGCGACTCTTTCTGCGTTTTCTCTGGGCTCTCTCTGGTGTTCTCTCATAGCTGTTTTTGTCTGAGTGCCCCCACCCCACCATGTCCCAGGCTTCTAGGGCCAAGTGTGCAGTGATGCATGCTCACACTTCACTCCCGGTATCCACAATCAGACACGTGAGCCCCTCAGACCCCACCCCCACTCCGTGCCTTCTGCGTTAACAAGATCAAGGCCTCAGGTGATACCCATAGAGGCCAGTGGCACATAAAGCCTAATAAACCTCAGTTATCACACAGGCGGATGCATAATCAAACCATGGCACCATCCCATATAGTAGAGCAACCTAGCACAGCTAATGACTAGCTCTTGTCTGTGTCCTCAGTGACATTCCCAGTCAGTACCCTGTGCCTGAGGTTGAAGTGAGATAATAGAACCGATATTTTTGAAATCTTCCAGTTGATTACTATATGCATCCACATTTGGGAGTTAGACCTGTGTTCTCCAACGTGAGCATACACAACCTGCTCTATTGTGTGAGGACTGAACAAATTATAAGGCTTCACCACGAAAACAGGAACTTAGAAAAGAAAAGACAGGAACTCAAGTGTCCAGTAATTGTGAGTGGGATGCATCCCCTGAATCAATCCTACCTGCCCTTACTTCTGGAACTTTGCACAAACAACTGCTCTGTCAAATTCTCATTCTGTGAGTCAGGTGCCTGTAAGTTGATAAATGCTTCTCACCTTTAAAGCTGTGAGAAACACACCCCACACCCCACTGAGTTCTCATTATCCATCAGAGTTACTTTCTGTACAGTTAGCATGGACATTGAATTAGTAAACTGGACCGATGCTCCTGGGA